CCTTTCAATCCAACACATTCTTGGCAGATTTGCCTACATAATATGGTCAGAAGACAGGACAACACGTCAGCATAAGCAGTAGTCTTTTAAAAACTAATGACAGACTACAAGTAGAGAGACATTTGAAACCACAGCTACTGTTCACAGCCCTGCTGCCTGCTGTAACAGAAATTCCCCAGTCTGCTCCAAATATACCACTGGCAAACAAGAAAGAATTTGTATTCACCCTCGGAATAAGACCAAGACAATGAAATGTACCTAGCTTAACCATGTGCTTATGAATTATATATACTTTATAAAGCTTTTTACAGTTCAAGTTTGATCTTCTATGTGGTTGTTCAGTATGTAGTTACTAATAACCATACTTTCAGAAACAATTGCCTATGAGTCTGACGACGATAAACCTCTGGTTGACAGGGGCAATATTTCTGGTGTTTCTGCGTAGCCATCACATATCCGTGCCAAAATGTAATGTTCTGTGGTCATTTTCTTTGCAGCTTATTTAACAACTGTAGATGCAAAATTAGTTATAATTGTAAGATAACTTTTACGACTGGATTGTTTCACAAGTAGCTCTAAAGGAACATGTTAAGCGAATTAAATACAAAATCATAGTTGTATGATAACCAGTCTACACACAGACTGGTTACCTGCATTCAATCAAACCGGCTCAACAGTGATTGGTCAACGCTACTTGGACTATAAACCAAAAACAGAAAACTTTACGATGCCAAGTCTTGTTATCTTTTTATTAAACACCCTAAATAATGATTTATAGTTGTAATTTAGTGGAAAGATAATCATTTTGACTTGAAGTGACCGACAGTTCAGCCTATCCAACAGATCAGTTTGTCAGTGAAATATATCCGTGTTGCTCTGAAACCCTCCAGGATGTTAACTCAGTGGAAAGCGGTGGTCCTATGGAGTAACTTGTTCAGAAAAGCTTTACTGGACAGGATTAGACAGAGGAGCTCACTTTACTTTCACCTTACAGACACTCTTTTTATGTGTACACATAATGCATAGTGCTTTGTGGAACTGATACCTAGCACAGTTTATCTCAAGCAAAATGTTGTGATGTAGAATTTCAACATTTGCTATCTCACAACAATCCTGCATCCAGTATGTGAATAGTTTGAGTAGCTCTTAAATGCATACAAGGTGAAAGCAGTAATAATGTGGAGAAGCATTGAGATGGAAAAGTTTTACATCCGTATTTGTGAATGCTCCTTTCCTCTCTCCTTCCTCTCTCCTTCCTCTCCCCTCCCTCCCCTTGCGTTCTTGTTCTCTCTCTTCCCCTTTATCAGCGGGTGAATCAGAGTAACAGATGATTGTGCGGTTTGTGTGGGACAGTCTCAGGGGGGAGTTAAAGGAGGGGGGGAGCACATTCACAGACTAAATTAGTGAAGAATGGAAAACCTTTTAGACTTTCTCTTCTTTTTAGTACGCGTTTTCTGTTGCCTTGTCCTCGTTCCTTTCCAGACCGCTGCGTATTTCCTCCTTGAGTGTTGTGGCCTCCTCCTCTCTGTCCCCCCCCTTTCTCCCCCTCTCTGTCACCCCATGGCCATCACCTCCTCTACACAAAGAGCTCTGTGGTATCATTAACTGCCCACTCTCTACCTACTCAAATATGTTTCAGTGTTTGATGATGGCCTTACACATGATCATTTGAATGATTTACACAGCGTATTGAAGGTTGTGGACACTTCAGATATTGTTGAAGGTAATACAAATGTCCAAAAATAAATATCCCCCTTACAAAACCACAAGGCTGTTACAACAACTTTTGTAAAATCCACTATGTACACCTTTGCAATCTTTCCCAGTAGGAAATGATGCGGTGAAGAATATCAAACCAATCAAGTTCTGTTTCTTTGCTTCACTCTGAGATGAAAGTATTTCAAGTCACAGACAAATCTGGTGTTCATGGGGTTCTCTTTTTAAGAAAAATGTACGAAGAAGTTCTTGGTATTTGATATCAATTCCATAATAGTCAAAGCTGTGATTTTGTGATGTGAAATATCCTATTGTGGCTCTCACTGGGATATTTAGAGGAGACTTTCACTTTTTTAAAATAAAACCAAAAGAATCAATTGCAATGCCCTTTCGTAACTTTGTCTGTTCTGTTCTCATAAACGTCCACTTGAGGATGATCTGACTACAATGTCAGGGTCAAAGGTTACTGTGACCGTACATTCAGCAATAATGGGATGTTATTCTCTTTGGAATGTCTTGAGATTTGGGACATACTTCCACTTAAACACCAGAATAAACTCATAAGGTTACACATTTTTTGCCATAAATCAAGAATTCATCTGCTATTAATGACGATGTCACACACGTGATGACATTTGGGACAGACAATGATGTCAACTGTAACTGGACAGGAATGTTGCCCTGTTAGAAAGCATCATGATGAAATGTTTGATTATCTTTAAAATGATTATCATGTTTGATTATCTTTAAACCCATTGAACCAGAGATGACATGCACCACAACGATACTTCATCTTCTTAGACGTCAGCAATTACCAATTCTGTTTACAGGCAAGGACATCTGTTTATGTCACTTGCTGAGAGCAGAGAGTTCATGAATATTAACAATAGTTGCACCCCAGACAAAAAGTCTCCTTGCATCACTTTGCTTGTCAGATAGCGTTAGCTCCTAAATCGTATCTGTGAAAATGGGTCTGACACTTCTGTCTGTTGGGAAATATGGAAAGGAAGAATGAGGTTTGCTGAAAAGAGGACAGAGATGGATAGATTTTCTGTCCGTCATCTCAGAATTAATTAGGAAATGGTTAGTTTTATTCATATAAAGTATCCTTTGTGGGTATTTTAGGCCCTGGCTGCTCCTAACCCTTTTATGTTCTCTACTAAATGTGTAATGTATGAGTGCTTATCTTTGTTCCATGCTGCTCTGCACTGTACAGCAGATGAGATGAACATTGCTGTTGTTGTCTAGTGTTTATCTTGTTGTAAGGACTGTTGTGGTTCAGGTGGTAGAATGACTCATCCATTAATCCTGGGGCGGTCTGATCCACGACACCTCCTCCACATTTCATGCCCCCAACACCAAAATGCTCCAGATGAGGAAGCAAGTGCCTCACATCACAGGTCGGCTGTCATTAATGTGTTAGAGTGTGTATGCATGGGTGAATTAAAGCCTTATAAATATCTCAGTGGGCGGCTTGGCTGTCTGTTAATCCTCCAAGGTCTAGACTCAAATATCTACACTAATGTCGACTATTCATTCTATTAGGGGTTCATTTCAGATGAATCCAAATTACTTTGATAGAAGTCTCAGATTTTCTTTGTGTTTAGTTTGTGATTGATCTGTAGAGTTCTTCAAAGTGCACTTTACTTTGCATCTATGAAGCTCTACATTTAATTAAAATTTGCATCGAAGACAAGTATTTAAAGGCTGAAGCCATGGTGCTGCTTTATTAGGTTATTTGTCATCTCACTGTCTCATATAATGCAGTGTCACCTTCAAATTGTTGTGACTGTAGCTCTGAATCCATATGCCGAGATTTGGAAATACAACTTGAGCTGTGACCCTGAACTTGGCCATGTGTCTTCAATGGCTTGGAAGACACCTCCTCCTTTGATAGTTGTCTATTCAGGTTAGAAAGAGAGAGAGAGAGAGAGAGAGAGAGGGAGGGAGGGAGGGACAGAGAAGGAGTGTGAGAGAGAGATCCCACACTGCTAAACACCAGATTGGTCTCGTCTGGCTCCTAGACAAGCTTTTCAAACTCTTTTTTCACTCCTCTCCCTAAGACATGCTTTCTTCTCTCCCTTTCTCCTCTCCCTCTAATCCGTCCTTCTGCCTATTTAGAGGTGAACAGCACAGCATGAAAGAGAGAGAAAGTGTTTTTTGTGTGCTTGACGGGTAACCCTCGCCCTTTTGAAAAGGCAAACAGGGAAAAGCTGCCATTACGACTGGCATGAAGGGATCTTAAGACAACGGCCTTTTCTGCCACTTTATTAGCACTGTCGAGACTAGTGCAGCACTGCTCCTCTTTCACCCCTCTCTTTCTCCATCACTCCTCTGTCCATGTTTCATTCCATGAGCCTGACATCCAAAAAGCATGCTGGGTAATTAATGGGGTTGCTAGGGGTTAGACTGGCCACTGTTTTAGCCCTAATTTAACAGGCTTCTTCCTGCACTGCTGCTGAGGTGATTGTTGTTATTTTGTGCAGATTGCCACCTCTTTCCCAGGCATATGGATATTATGAGCACACATACAAGTAATGTTTAGATAACGGGAAGAGGAGGGGGATGTTGTCAAAGGTTGCAGACCTGAGCATTTCCCGTTCTGTGCGCTTGGGGGTCGAGGGGGGGCAGCTGAAAGGAAAAGCAGAGGAAATATGGAAGTTGAAAACATAACAAACAAGCATAATGTCTGGATGGAGATTGGGGAGCGTGGGAGCTAAGGTGGAAAGAATCTGATGAGGTGTTAAGTCTGATTGAGGTGTGTGAGTGTGTGTGTGTGTGTGTGTGTCTGTGTGTGTGAGAGAGAGAGAGAGTTTTGGATGTGTCCAAACAATGGTGCTGTCATTGTCCTATGTTGGGAAATGTGGTCATTACAAGTTGCAATCAGAATCATTTCTGTGCAAATGCAAATATGATCCGTCATAAGTTTGCACACCTTCTGAACCAATCCCATAAAAACTCTTTACAATTTCTCCCCGTCTCACTTGTGTAACCTACATTAGTCACTACAGTTTATATTTGCTAAAGACCAAGAGCTATAGCACCTATCACAGCTTCAGTGTGGACTCAGGAAACAAACTGGCCTTATCGGGGGCAGACACACAAAGCTGTCCTGGCTGTGGGGTGGCGAGGTATGCAAAAAAGCATGTGTGTGTGTGTGTGAGGGGGGGGGTGGCGGTAGGAGGCACTTCCTCCTATTCTTCTGCTGTGGAAGAGTTCCCATGAGCGCCCCTGCCAGGAGCTACAGTGTGGCCTGAGCAGGCCGAGCCAGCGCCAGTCTCGCCTGCATGACGCCGACACACACTCTCACACAGCCGAGCTCAGGAGCTACTGAAACTGCTGCTGCCGCTCAAACCACAAGGCGAGAAGCGCGACCGTGGTAACAGGATAGAAATAATTTGAGTGTGAAAAGTTGAAGGAAGGAAGAAGTTGGGAGGATTGAAGTGAAGTTTCAAACAAGGCAAGAGGAAGACATGCAGTAGTTGAGAGCAGGTACAGACGCAACACTGAGCATTATTGACTGGACTCATTAAAAGGAACCTTGAATGGATAACACTGCAGTTGGAGGACAGTGGCAGAGTGACGCCAACTTTGAAGAAAGGACTGTTTCCAAGAAACTTGAATTTAAATTAATTTGCGGGAAGGGGCCAGTTTGGCTGAAAAAAGTCTCCAAGGACACATTTTTGTCACACTCTACAGATTCCTGTCTATTTTCCAGAAAGGTGAGACACCATATTATTATCTAGAGCCACAATTCATCCTGACTGTCACCTGGAAACTGGACATTTTGAAAACTTCAAGACCAAAGCCACCTTCAGACTTTTTTTGGGCAGCTGTCACTGTTATGATGTTTCATAACACACTTAAGTCCAACGAGCCATCGGAGCATAGCCCCAGGAGCACACACTCCGCTGCACAGAGGAGGCTGTGGAGATACTCGGGCTGCAGGAGGGCCGGACAGGTGGAGAGTCACCGTCGCAGCGTGTGTGTACTGGCTGCAGACTTGAACGGTGGAGAAGGACAAAGAGGAGGAGGTGGAGGTGTGATACACACCATCCACGGGCTGTGCCACCTCTGCATCGGATGTAGGCTCCCTCAGGTGTGTCTTTGTTTCAGAGAATAGGGGACGGGGTACATCAATCAACCGGTGATTGTGAGGAAAAAAAAGTTAGAAAACTATCTTTAACCACTGCTTTCGTAATTAATTGTGAAAGATGAATTACATTTAATAATTCATGAATCTTCACCGGTCTAGTCGGCTGTCATCGTGTCGGAAAACAAAAAGTGTAGGCCTAAAATATGTGGGTATCTGTGTTTGAACACGATCCGATCCTAATATTTGGCTTTGACTGTACAGCTGAAATTGCACTTTGGACTGCATGTCCAAAACATCCGGAAAGGAATAACTGGCTGTGTTTTCTTCCGAGTCGGGAACAAGCTTTTGTGTCCTCTACTTTATTTATAGTTCACATAGTGAGAGAAAGATATCAGGAGTGGAAGAGAGGAGACACACGTTTGCTATGATATGAACTGATGCCACTCTCCTTACATAAGAACCTTTGTGCACATCTGCATTGCATAAGAAATTAGGAAAACACAGTTTTAAGAAAAATGTAATATTATTTCATTTATTAAGGTGGCAGAAAATATCAAAATCTTTAAATATTTTGAAGATACAAAAATAAGAGGGTTAACATGACAAAAATACAGACTAACAATTAAGTCATGTGTGTGTGGTGTGATGTCTAATTTTTGAGAATACCCACTTGATATCATAACTTAACCACTATGTATACAAAAATGTTGGTGATACGTTTCATTTAGTTTATGCTGGACTGCCTGCCGTAAATATAACCTTTACAGAACTGACGGAAAATACACACGACATGTTCTGTATTCATCAAATCATCAGAGACTGGCGTGATTCATGCACTGTCTGAAAGCATGCAGCTCTGAGGCATGAATGTGAAAAGGGGAAAGCTGTCCCACAAGCGTGAACACATACTGTTCACACCAGATTTTCCTCTAAATTCATTACAAGAAAGCTCAAATCTTACTCATTAGTCTAGTCAGTTCCGCCACAGTCCCTTTGACTGAATTATTAATTATCAATAAGGCCATGCTAATACAATTTAAATATTTAATCTGTGTTTTTCACATTAATTAGTCTTAATTCATTTTCAGTAATACATCTTAAAAGTCCCTTAAAAGGACGTTCATACTGATTTCTTGCATTATTCCCAGGCTAGTCTCCTCTTTTCTTTAAACATGGTAAAGTAATGCCCCTGCTTTCATTCAAAGTGAAAAAAGGAGCATGGGACTGCCTCTCCCAGACCAGAGGAGTCCAAGTGGTTGGACTCAACTCTGCTTACAAATTAAATTAATGCTGAAAAGGCTTTGGAGTTTGGATGAATTGGCCCAATTTAGGCAGCTCTAAGAGTTGGACACAGTCTCTGAAACAGCTTTCAATTTAAACACACAGACAGACAGAGTAGATAGACAGAGGCAGATGGAACAGGCGTGATGGATTGTTGTCTCTCTCACTTCTGTTAATTTTAAGTCACAGTCTTTGCTTTTCAATATTTTCTTTCACATATCAGTTTTCAAGCTCATCCATCAAAATGCTCCATGCCTGCTTGTTGTTTTTCTCCGTTAATTCCACTCAACGTTTTTTTCTTCATACCATCTGTTCTATTTGTCTATGTCATCTGCTCTGCCTAAAGTCCCACTGCCCTATTTTACCCCTTTTTAATCTTTTTATTGTATCTCTTCTATCCTTGTTTATTATCTTTTCATCTACCTACAGTCAGTTTCTATATATCTTTCCTTTCTCTATTTCTGTCACACAACCAAGGCAAGGATGATTAGTGTAAACCCATCCGTCCTTAAAATAAGAATATACACACAGTGCAGTACATCTTTGCAAGTATAACACGGTTAATCAAGTTTCTAATTTCTTTTTTACAGCAGGTGACAACGTCAGCATGCTCTCTGTAGAAGGACAATTATTCAACGGAGAGAAAGATTTGAAAGGAGGAAAATATGATAAATTAATTGTTGCCTCAAACGCCGTGACACAGGGCACATCAAATCATTGGACTATAAGAAACTACAATTATATCCGACATTTTAGGGTCGTCATAAGCTTCAGGCCCCTGAATAGTCAACGTATTACTGCAAGTCGCTGCATTTGGCGCATGGGTAAACTGCCAACATGCTCCTAACCAGTACTCCCTTGTATCTCAATAAGCCCTTCCTGACTTAATAAAGGATAAATAAAAGAAAATGTTTTAAATAATGAAGCTTTCCTCTGCTAGAGCAAAACAGAGCAATGAAAAAGAGTTGTGCGGTGGGGGCGGTGTGTGTTTTAGTCCCCTGGTTGTCAGCAGATGACATGGAAAGTGAGATGTTTTGGACGGAGACTTTGTTGACTTTGGCTCAGACTCTCTGGCACAGGTAGCGAATGTTTGGCGACGCGGGGTCAAAGAGAAAGAGAGACAATGGGGAAACTGCCATCAGTATTACAAATGTTTATGTGTGTGTGTTGACCTGCAGAACTTGAGCGGACGAACAATGTTTGGATTTAATCTTTATTCCTGACGTTGCATATTATCCAGAAGCAAGGGGTTGCACTACTCACAACATCGAGATTTCGCCCTTAAAAAAACGTTATGATCTTTCTTTACTCTTCTGTGTGCGACGGTTTAATCTTATAAGGAACATATGCTGACAATGAAATATATAAATGGAAAAAAACACGTACTTTTGGTGCAACCATATAACAGATGTGACTTAATGGTTAATAATAAGCTGTCACTTGCTAAATGTATTGGTGCCGTTTTGGCTTTATAAACAAGTTATATAATTACTGATGCTACCACCTACTTTTCTCAGTTAGTATCAGTGTGCCCTGAATATGAAAGGTTTACATGTTTGTGCTGAAGAGGCTTTGTGTGTGTTTCCACTGCAATTCTTCTTTGTGTTTCTTTTGCACCAGCTATACACTATTCAGAGTATAGGTCTGATTTAAATTGGCAATGTGCTTTCGTGAGGATTTTATCCCCAACTGCTGGACAATGAGCGCCTTTCCTCCATCTCTTGGACTTGTTTTTCCTACGAACACAGCTAATTGGGTTCACCGGGAAACTGCTGTCAGGACAGTTTTAATAGAGGAAGTAGAAGCAGAATACAAATCCACTTAATCATCCTGTCGGGAGGAAGTTGATTATTATGACAGCATGCTGCGTTTGGTTCCTCAAGTAGTGAGAGAGAGAGAGGTTCCCATCTTCTTATTACGACATGACGGTGTTTGTGTTTGTGTTCTGCAGGTGAACATCCTCCGAGGAAAGGATGGATTCGGCTTCACCATCTGCTCAGACTCCCCTGTGAGGGTGCAGGCTGTTGATCCAGGTGAGGTTTGCATGCACACGTCTGTGTAAATGAAGCTCAATGTTCTGGCGTGGTTTGATTTTTAAATGCTGAGGTCCTGATTGTTCTGAACTCCCACTGGGCCTTTGCAGAAGGAACATCTTTCTTTCATTTTTACTGAGGGACTTGTCATTCTCCTACCTATTCCTACAATTATACTTCTAGAAATGTGAAAGCAGCTATAATCAAATTTAATTTTCCTAAGAAGATTGGACTGAATACTGTCTGGTTATAAGGGATGCACTTGATTTTCACTCTCAGGACTGCCAACAGTAGATTTCTAGTTTCTAATAATATTTATAACATGAGCTTGATATAGCACACTGTCGTACCACATACACATATATATGGTGTCAAAGCAGCTGTCTGAACTGCTTTTTTTAAATCATAAATGCTTGATTCTATTGGGTATATTATGTTTAAGGTAGCTTTATTTCACATCCATTGATCTGAGTTTGACATGTCATGACATTTTTGTCATCTGTGGCCTAATAATTAAATTCACATAACATGAGAAAGGTCATTCCTAAATGAATTTAGCCTCAAAAGACAACAGAGCATCTTAATATCAGACAAATATTCAATTGTTTTATCCATGCAGCTATTCACCGAAGTCTGTAACATGTCACCCGGAAAGAACATGAAACAAAAATGAAAATGTCACTCGAGAGTGTGGAATGATGTTAACTCTTCTGTCTCTTCCCTGGTGCAGGGGGCCCAGCCGATCAGGCAGGTCTGCAGCACTTGGACACCCTCCTGCAGCTAAACGGTCAGCCCGTGGAGCAATGGAAGTGTGTGGACCTAGCCCATGCTATCAGGTAATGAGTCCAACACACCAGAGGATCATTCAGGTCTCAGGATCAGTGATTTGTAAAGATTATCTAATGGATTCATTTATTGTACGATTTCATTTTGGCATCTTGATTGAAATTCATTTTGATATCTGTTTCAGTACGTGAACAAAACCTGGTGTGAAAAAGATAATTCAAAGTTTGAGATTGAATTATAGTGGAAGTTTTTCCATATAGTTGTATGATTCAGATATATAATAAAGGATGCAAATTATAAATATATATATTATAAATAACGTAATAGTTGTACATACATTTCTCTCTGTGCATTGGATTTAAGTAGATTCTCTGTATGCAATAATTAAAATGTCTGCAGATATTCTACAACGTTATTTGTTCTTCTTGAAATTATTTACATCAATGTTCCGTTGATGGGCCGATTTGCAGTTTCACAATTTTCTTTACTTTAACTACTTATATTTTGTTGCTCATCATATTAATTCTCTTTGTAGAAACAGCGGCAATGAAGCCAAACTGGTGGTGTGGCGCACGGGCCCTTCAGCTAAGCCTAATTTCGAGGGCCTCATCCATCGGCCCTCCTACAATCCGTCCACCTCAAACTATGACGCCCCCTCGCCCCCAACCCGCAGGCGCGTCCCAGATGTTGGAGCGAGTAAATCCCCCCCGGCCGTGCCGCCTCTCCCAGCCCACCACCGTGCCACCGCCTCCCGCAGGCTGCTGGTCAACGGCTCTGAAGCTGGAATGGGGGGAGGCGTAGGCGTTGGGACCCTGGGTGGCTGGGGGGCCCATGGGGGGTCGGCCGAGGAGCTGGACGGGAAACCGCGCCTCCTCCACCACCCTCACACTGCCACGCTGAAGGGGACCCGCGTGAAGGCATCCAACGGGGACAACTACATCATCCTGGCCCCCATCAACCCCGGAAGCCAGGTACCGCAGAGTGCTGGTGGACTGCATCTTCATCATCTCCTTCGTCCTCCTCATCCTCACCTCGGTCATATGGTGGCTCATCCTAGATATGTCTCCTTGCCTTTCATTCCCGGTGCTGATAGATAGAAGGACTGTATGTACAGCATGTCTGCGCCATTTGGGTTACTGCCCTCTCACTGATCTGTGCTTTAAGACATGTTCTGAACACAATGCACTTCAGACAGTGTCATGTAGATATGAGGTAATGCAGGAGCAGACAATAACATACAATATATGCAGCTGCTAATAATATACATGTTTGCCTTTACTATGTGAAGCTTTGCCAATATTTATTTCATTACATTTGACCAATGAATCACAGTTCGTATTAGAAAGGCAATGCATATGTATCTAACATAACTTACCCTAAAGATATCATATAACATAGAAAAACAATCTGTGCGCTGTGACTCACATCAGCATTTTCAAACAAATAGTTCTGGCATTTGTAAAAAGATATAACTCAACAAAAGTAGTTCTTGATTCAAATAGGTATTCCATTGCTGGTCCATTTCTCCGAGTGCACATCAGGGCATGTAGGTAAACACATTCTAATTACAGAGCCAGGGCGGGGGGTTATATTCCCAGATTAAGATGCACATTTCTGAGGAAAAACTCACAAATTTACAAGAAGAACTTGATTATTCTATTTGTTAAATGTCACTGGCCAATATGCTATGTTTTCTGAATAGGCCCAATTCAAGGCAATGTTTCTTCAGAGTCTTTTTGTTGATAATAATATGTAAAATCATTTTATACAGCCTGTACTTATTTTTTCATCCAATGACATCATGTATATAAGGTAAAAGCTTTGATCATAACAAAATAAAGCACATTTATTCAAATCAAAAAGACTGAACTGAGTTCCTCAGCTAACAACTATGTAACACTTTGATACTAACCAATTAACAACCTCAGGCTAACCAACATTCAAAATGCATTTTTTTCTTATTACAATCTGGGTAAACCTTAGGTGTCTAAATAATTGCTTCTAAAATATTCTAACAAACTAAATCCTTTTTTCTGTCATATTTAGAGCAGTTAGTTAAGTGTTATTCTCTTCCTCTGTGTCCTTCTGTAACTTTGTGTGTGTGTGTGTGTGTGTGTGTGTGTGTGTGTGTGTGTGTGTGTGTGTGTGTGTGTGTGTGTGTGTGTGTGTGTGTGTGTGTGTGTGTGTGTGTGTGTGTGTGTGTGTGTGTGTGTGTGTGTGTGTGTGTGTGTGTGTGGTGTGTGTGTGTGTGTGTGTGTGTGTGTGTGTGTGTGTGTGTGTGTGTGTGTGTGTGTGTGTGTGTGTGTGTGTGTGTGTGTGTGTGTGTGTGTGTGTGTGTGTGTGTGTGTGTGTGTGTGTGTGTGTGTGTGTGTGTGTGTGTTTATTTCTTTGTGTCTGTGTGTGCCTCATGTCCATCTTCATCTGTGAGTGCTTCTCTGGTTGGGGTTCAGTTAAGGGACATTGTTGTGCATGTCAAATCAATTGTGTAGTGAGCTGTCCCACATGACAAGATGAGATTGATTTGAAGAAGGAAGAACATAAATAGATTCAGAGAAATAAAAATATAAAGTGTAGGAGTGTATAGTAGTTTGGTCAGACTCTGGAAAAAGATTGCAGGTGCGTGCCAACATAGTGAACAAACATTCAAACCGCCACCACTTTTATCTCAAACAAATGAGGGGGAAGGGATTTGGTGCGATTGTGTGGCTCAATACACCCAAAGCCCTGTAGAAATGGGTCATGTTCTTGTCTAATTGCACTGACAGTACTTTAGGTGGTAAACAAAGATGTTGGAAAGCCCACACTACAGACATATTTATAATGAGAAGCTGGAAGAAAAGCAAGCTAATGATACGAATACCCTAACATTTTGTGACTTTCAAACCACTAGCTCACTTACTGTCTTAATCTGGACAACGTGTGATGTAGTGGCTATCTTTTCAGTTGACTGTTATCTGTTATGACATGGGGAAACCTCCACTGACTCGCTGAGTCTAGCACAATTCAAATGAGCTCAGCTGTGTCCTAGATACTAAAATGCAATGTCAAGTAAGAAACTTCACATGATAATGTCCAGCTCCATCCCTAAAGACAAACTTGTGGCATAGTGACATTTTTGAATAAGGATATGAAGTGTGTTTAATGGCAACCCTGCGTTTCAAGTCTCACGTCAAACAAAGTTAAAATCAGAATTGTATTAGGAATATTATTACATGGAAGTATCAATTTATTATTTGAATAAGGACACGGTGTCTAATGTCATTATGTCTTGGCTTTATTCCATTCTAGACGGAGCTTAGATGTCACTTTTCATAGTGCTGAAGCCTATTTAATATTAATGTCATTTAATATTATTCTGCTTTCAGATCTTGAGGCCTGTTTACCAAGACAACCAGGGAACATTAGGTAAGACATGTTATTACTCATACATCATTTTATTAAAGGCCACAGTGAACAGTGTCTTGGCGGAAAGCCTTTGTTTCAGTTGGCTTTGGTGCCTCTTTTTGTTGGCTTTAGCCCAGAATGTTAATCTACTTTTTTACTTAACATTACAGGGTATTGTTATTTTAATTAATGTGATTACATTGACTTTAGGTTTGGCCCCCTGAAACAGCCTTGAATGACACTGAAAAAGTCTAAAGTTTAATTTGAGTTTAAAGTTTGAATCCAGTTTTCCCAATTGACTACAACAAACCTCTTACTGCTATTTTAAGTAAATGTTTGCCATGTTTTGATTTTTTCAGAAAACTGGCCAATATAACAGCTTAACATATAAATGATGCATAAACTGTCTTGTTCAAAAGGATTTAGCACTATAAGGTAAACACAAGTCGAGCAGAGGATTCTACTTTGGGGACTGAACACACTCATGTTTTTTTTAGCCACTCCTTTTCTGTCTTTTTCTGGGTAAGGATAAAGTATAACCGCAGTTTGTCTCTCTCTTCGTTGCTCTTTTTATTTTATTAACAAACAAGATATCTTTTAGCTGCTGTGGTGTTGGTATGTAGATTTTGTTACCGTTCTACAGAGCCTGGCTATGTTTATTTGTTGTTTGCAGTTATGGCTAAACTCCTCATAGCTCCATCCTTGTATAGGCATGCTGATATTCGAGTGGTATCCTCTCATCTAACTCTCTTAATAATAGATCATTACTGACACTCCACAGGTAGCGCCAGTAATGATACTGGACAGTATGTAATCTTTGTCTTCACCCTCACTTGCTCACGTTCTTCATTTTCCACAGCCGGCAGGTTATACCCACGGCAGGGCTCAGATCCACAGCCCCAGAGCAGTGGTGGTGGAGGTCCTAGTAGTAGTGGAGGAGGAGGAGGAGGAGGAGGAGGGGGAGGCGGTTTCGCCAGCCGAACTGGCTTCCTACGTAGGTCTAACAACTCTAAGACCACAAAGACAGCATCCACCTCCACCAACGCCGGTGCACCCAACTACCAGCAGCAGAATGCTAACTTTGCCAATTACCAGAACTGCACCATCGTCCGCTCACACACTCCACATGCCAACTACGGATATGTCAAAGTGGCTCCCAAGATCCTCATCTTCCCCATCTTTGTTCAGGTAAGCCAATGATTGGAAACCCAGCCAAAGGTTTGATGCTAAGCTGAGCTAACTTGGTCCTGGTTGAAAATGCTTATTTGAAAGTCAGGCATAAGGTCAAAAGGAATGAGCTTATCTCCCAAAATCATACTAGTTTGGTAGAGTCAAAGGTCTGGCCGCTTTTAAACTGTGGCCGTACTGTATATACTACTGTATGTACATACTCTATAATGGTATTCATCTAACACCATAGGTGTCCATGATGCTCTAAAAAACAGTCAGACAAAACTCTGCAGACCATTTCAAATAAAATACTTTTGAGGTTTGGAGTTAAATACATTGACCTTTTTGCTTCTGCATTTTGTTTTGCAAGTCATGAGGGTGCTATTTTTTACAAGTATTTGATATGCAGTGTTGTTTTTGTGGAGTTTGTTTTTTGAGAATACAGCACTGTGGTTATTTTTCCAAACAAATATTTTAATACATTACAAGGCAATGAGGCTCTGTATTTATTCAGATGACAGTCCTTTTTATATTTCTCATATACATTCTATATGATCTCTCCACCTTGTATATCTGAATATAGCTGTGTACAGAAACACTTTTCGTTACATATATTCTTCATACTATGGTAATCGGAATAATCTAGTTTCCTGAGGAGGGATAGTCCAAGTGAGGAAGCCAAGGCAAGTCATGAGTCATATGCTACCATGTCTTCATATATACAGGCAGTATACCCATGCTACAGTGAATATATTTTTGAAAATGTGAGATAAGTTAGAGCAATGCATTTTGCACCTCCTGCAGTATCTAAAAATTGGCTTCTTGAGTTCCCCGTTTTGAAATGCAGTAACTGTGGTGGTACTTCCTGTTAACTCATATAGAAACATGCAACTCTGACCCTGCTTCTCACAGTATGCAAATGTAACACATGCATATTGAATTAGCCCACCCTGGACTTGAGAGGAAGTCACCTCCTCCTGTGTTACAGTTAATCTTTAGTGTCATTCTCAGACCACATGTCGCCGCACAGTTGTTTCAGTTGTGTTTCTCACAGCAGTAAGACGACTTACTGTTCAGAAGATCATTTGGATTTTGAGTGCCAAAATGGATTTGGTATTACAACCTCAGGTTTTACTTTTTAAATCTACAAAAAAACAATATTCTAAGATTTGTATCTTAACACATTGCTTAACATATATCAATGATTTTGATGATTAGGCAATGGTTATCATATAAGTAACATGTGCTTGTGGTCATTGATAACCATCTCATCAGATATATCAATAATTATGAATAAACCTTAAAACTATGTTCAAAAACCTTGTTCCTTAATCTGACTGTGTAACATCTGTGTAACATCTGTGTCATTGATCTTTTTCCAGCCCCTTGACCTGTGCAGCAGAGCGCTCATCTTATCTGAAGAGATGATACTCCATGAGAGCAAGCACCACTCGCTCAAGGTGAGAGGCAACAGTGTGTGTATGATGTTTACATATGTGTATATCCTTGCCTATGCTTGTGATGTGAGAATATACATTCATTTCAATACAATATAAACATTTTTCTGAGCTGGTTCTCCGTGTAGAAAGCACAGTTTTTCTTTAGCTATTTCTTCAGTTTGCTTCTGCTCAGGAATTTCAATCGTTGACCACGGAACATCCAAACTGTAAGCAGGATATGATCTAAAACTCATTTTAAGAAACCCCAAAAGCTGAAATGACCCTGGAAGGCACAGGATTGGATTTTGTTGATATGTGGAAAGAAAATGTTATTTCCGCAATCCTCTTCCGAAGCGTTTCATAATTTGATTGATCCAGAAAGATTGAGGCTCTTTCCTCTCCAGCCTTTTAAGGTTGCAGGAGACAGAATGACTAGTGGCAAACATTTTGCTGGTTTGTCACAACCAGTTATGTTGTTTGTTTATTTGGCCAAAATGGAAGTGACGGTCCATTGACCCAGTGCTGATCTCAAGTCGAAGCTTGTGTGTGTGTTTAAGAGTTATGTATGTACTTGCAAAGAGAAAGCAAGTGAGGAGCAGTTTGTGAGAGGAGATGTCTGAACATCTCTGAAGAATTTGTAACTGCTCTGAGCTATCAGACCAATGAGTCGATGAATGAATAAATAATTGATTAAAGAGCAGAGTGCCAAAGATCTAGCCGAGGGCGAAAATCTGTTTTATGTATCAAAGGAACTCTCTCAGAATATATGAATGATTCTTTCACAGTATTTTAAACTCACCTTGCATAATCTGCATTATAAATTAAGAATGGAAATGTGTAATACATTTGTATCAAAGGTAATTATACTTCTTATTTTCGAAGTTTTAAAATATAGATTTGTATTCTGTAACAAGTACTTAAATGTTGCCGGTGTCAGAAATACATTAGTAGCGGTGTTTTATGTGCTTTACCTTGTAGGGTTTAACATGTTATGCTTCAAAGAAAATGTGAAGTGCTGTACAGCAGAGCCAGGTCCGCTAATGTAATCTTATCTAATTGATCAAATATTACTGTATTTCAAGCTAACATTAGCCACGTTATTCTAACTCTATGTACTTTACAAATATTTGGATTATCTTGATACATGTTCAGCTGTATTTTCCCTAACAATAAAAATGTGTGACCCAGGTTAAGTTTAAGGTTTTGGCAGAAGCTAAAGTAAGAAAGTTATCCACACGAGGAGTGGAGATATGTTTCTGAAATTTGAGGTTTTTGGAATCAGTGTTGCAACTCATGGAATCCTTTCTGACATCCAATGCTCTAACAAAGTATACAAATTAGAAAGAGAACAGAAGGATCACTTTTTGAAAGAATTAAGCTTTTGCTACAGTTGTTTAATTCCCCCTGTCAGATAATATTTTCTGTGCAGTGAAGTGCAGTGAGTGCTGGCATGGAAGGTAATCTGGCCTCTCTCCGGGGTCCGTCCTAAAACAAATATTTAACAGCCAGTGTTTGTCAGGAGGGAGTTTCTCTCCACTGCTTTGTGCGCGCTGTTTTTAATGATCAGTTAGTGTTGTTCCAGCTTTAAACCTTAGCTCAGCACGGTTGTGTCAGTCTGCCAGGAGGCTATCACACAGACTCTTTTGTTCACACAAACATCTACAACTTTCATTATGATATCTGAACAAAAATAATGAGCACAGCATTGCAATAACTTGATATAATCTAAAGTGACATTTGGACAAAATGGAATTTTAGTGGATTAAATAATGGCAATACTTCAAAGTGACATTTGGCCATAACAGATTTAAGTGGATTAAGTTGTGTGAATAGAAAATAAGACAGCGATTGAAAAAACATTTAACAAAATTATTTTTGAAAGTGAATATATAAATACAAAACCAATATTTATTAAAATACTCTATGAACCATTATCATTCATCATTCATGCTCCCTTGACCGGGATGGCTACCTTTATTTTACATTTGTTATTCTCAATCAGAGAACACGGTTGTGTTTTTTAAAACTTTTGCGCTCTTTTGGTCATTATGTGTTTGTTGTTTGTCTGCGTATGCATTTAAAGTGTGTGTGTGTTTCTCTGTGTGAACATTCTCTGCTGCTTGCCTTTCACTTGTCACTTTGTCCTTGCCTCTGCAGTGTTTCCCCTAGGATGGAGTCATAGCAGCGGTGCTAAGGCACGCGGGCCCAGCAAAATGTGAGCGCGGAGCGCGTGGAATCTTTTAGTGTGTGCGCGTGCGAAGTGCGCCCCGCCAATATGTTTCTATGGGTCTGCCAGCACAAGAAAGGCTCTTGAGGCCTAGTACCAGGGCCGGTTCTAGCCAATTTGCGGCTCTAGGCAAGATTTTAGGCGAGAAATGAAATGAAAAATCTCTACAAAAGACAAATACACTACAAAAACAGAAACTTATTGACATAGGTAATATACGTCAAAATGGCTTCAAATGTATTCCGTATTGTACGAACATGTTTGAATTGGGGGGTGGACGTCACATCCTCTAGGGGGGTCCGGAATTATGCCCCCCCGGGAAGATTTTTTTGAACATTTTAAAGTAAAATGTTTCAATCTGGTGCACTTTGAGCACACAATTACTAGAGACTTGATCTAGGGCAGGGGTCGGCAACCCCTGGCACGCGTGCCAGCATTGGCACGCGGCACCGTAACCAGTGGCACACTAGGAATAAGTCGAATAAGTGTGCAAAATATTTAAATTTTATTTTCGGATCCTGAACGAGACCGCCGCCAGAGCGCGTCTCCCCGTTACCTGCAGAAGGAAGCCATGCACGCAACGCAGCCCCGCTCTGTTTAACTCCAGGTTAAGGTCTGGACCCGAAGAACAGGAACACATATGTGAGAATGCTGTTCATTGACTACAGTTCAGCATTTAACACCATTGTGCCCTCCAAGCTGACCATCAAGCTCAGAGACCTCGGGCTCAACAGCGCCTTCTGCGACTGGATCCTGAACTTCCTGACGGGCAGACCCCAGGCAGTGCGGGTGGGAAATATCACATCCTCCACCCTGATTCTTAACACCGGTGCCCCTCAAGGCTGCGTGCTCAGCCCTCTCCTCTACTCCCTGTTCACCCACGACTGCGTGGCCACACACAGCTCCAACACCATCGTGAAGTTTGCTGATGACACGACCGTCATCGGCCAGATCACAGACGATGACGAGACGGCATACAGAGAGGAGGTCGAAAACCTGACATCTTGGTGTCAGGAGAACAACCTCCATCTCAACATCAGCAAAACAAAGGAGCTGATTGTGGACTACAGGAAGCAGCAGGGAGAGGGACACGCCCCCATCGCCATCAATGGGACTACGGTGGAGAGAGTCAAAAGCTTCAGGTTCCTTGGGGTCCACATCACTGAGGACCTGACATGGTCTCTTCACACCACCACCATCACCAAGAAAGCTCGACAGCGGCTCTTCTTCCTCCGCAGGCTGAGGAGGTTCAAAATGGATTCCAGGATACTCTGCAACTTCTACAGGTGCACGATAGAGAGTATCCTCACTGGCAGCATGACGGCCTGGTACGGCAGCTGCACCGACCTCGATCGTAAGGCTTTACAGAGGGTGGTGAAAACTGCACAGCACATCACCAGGACGGAGCTGCCATCCATGGAGGGCCTTTACTCCCAGCGGCTCAGGAAGAAATCACTACGGATTATCAAAGACCCCCATCACCCCAGCCACAAACTGTTCTTTCTGTTGCCGTCTGGCAGACGTTACCGCAGCATCCGGGCAAGGACAAGAAGATTCGGAGACAGTTTCTTCCCGCGGGCAGTGAGACTGTTAAAAAATTGAACTGTTGAAACAACTTCAAACATTCAACTGCTACTCAGTAGTATGTATCTAATACCTAATATATATATATCATTCCAATAACTTGTATATAGACTCATACTGCACTATTCCACATCATAACTTTATTTCATTTTTATAACTATTATTATTTTTGTATTGCTCTTGCTCTTATTGTTATTATGTTATGTTATTATGTTGCATTGTTGGAGAAGCCTGTGACATAAGATTTTCAACTGCATAATTACTCTGTAGCTATGTCAGATTGACAATAAAGAACCTTGAACCTTGAACCTTGAACCTTGAGGTGACTTTCTGCCGCTTTCCTCCGTGGTGCAGGGCTGATCGTTTCACCACAGAGGAAAGCACTTCACAAATTGCAGTACCCATAAGGAGCTTTACAAATGCCGCAGTTTTTGCGTGGCTGTGTCTTTAGTTGAAAGCCCAGTGGCGATCTGCTCATCTCTCATTGAAATAATATGCTACAAAGGGGCGGACTGGCCATCTGTGTGTTGAACTTTCCTTTCGGCTCCCAGACCGTAGTCGAGGAGGGCAGAAGCAACAAGCTTCAGGTTCAATAACCCACTTTAGCTTAAATGACTGGAGAGAGGCGAGCTCTTCTGGGGAGGCCGTTGCATTTATTTAGCTGTTCTTCTGTTTCACAAAATACATCACAGACCTCTGTTTTTCTGCTGCCTCGTTTCACTTCCAGAAACATACACACGCTCGCTCACTCTCGCTCTACCATCCACACACACACATGCACACGCCACACCCCTCTCTCTCTCTCTTAAAGGAACAGCGATCTCATCTCACTCTGCCTGACCCTAATATCATAACATGTGTGTTCTGGAGAATCACAGAACGGACGATCGTCCTTATTATTATGCCGTTTAAACCAATTTAATTCAATGTGTTTGTTAAATTCGGCATCATGTAAGTTGTGCTGACAGGTACACACACACACTGCTTCCCCGCAGCGAGGCTCCCCCCGCCCTCCTGTTGATAGTTCACCAGCGTCAAGCTCCTCAAACCCCCCCCCCCCCCCCCCCCCCCCCCCCCCCCCCCGCCCCCCCCGTTGATAATTCTCGATCGTTGGCACGCTGATAACAATTTTTTTTTTTAATGGCACTTCATATCAAAAAGGTTGCCGACCCCTGATCTAGGGGGTACAACTCTAAAACACCCATATAAAAAAGATCGGTTTACATTTTAATAATCAAATAAGTATGTGAACATAACCAATAACCTACCATAGCCAATAACAAATAAATGTAACTTATTTTATTTTTGTTGTTTATTTATATCTTATTTTACCAGTTAACATTTATTTATTTATTTATGTATATTCTTTAATATCTCCAGTTTTAAACTCTATTTTTGGTTTACTGTCCTATAGTATACATTGGAATTATTTCAAACCTGTTTTTATTTATCCCAATAATTATAAAGGAGTGCCTTGGAGATATGTGTTTACATAATTTGTGGTCAAAACGTTTGAGACCCACTGAGATAACTTAGACTAAAGTTAACTATCTAAACACTGAGAGTCCTTTACCTCACTGAGCCTCTCAGTCTGACAGGAGAGCTCTCCTCCACAGTATTGTAGAAACATATTCTTCTTATATCTGTTAGCGCAGCTAGCACCAGATGCTAGTAATAACAACAGCGCCGGTGCGCCCTTCTCTCTCCCTCGCTCGCTCTCTCGCTCCCACGCTCGCACTTTGGCTGTGAGCAGCGGGTGCCAGATAAGCCAACTTCCCCCACTTTCATCACTTACAGCGCCCATCGTACAGGGCAAATGAAAAGTGTAACCGGGGTGAAAAGGGTGTTACATTTACTTAATTCTGATGTTGTTACATCAAGGCCGAAAATTAGGATGAGCACCAACGGTCAAAAATGTTTTTTCCCCTCCCAGAGCTACCAGCGCAGCCCCCCCAGATCTGGCGCCCTAGGCCAAAAACCGGCCCTGCCTAGTACACACAGTGGCAATGTCTCAAGATTTAGCAAAATACACCTTTATTGAACATACAGTAACACAAATACTACAAATCCACATAGAAAACAATCAAAAATGAAAAAGGGTCACCACTTATTATTATTTTAATAAAAGAAAAAATATATATATATATTTATATATATATATTTTGTTTTGGTACCTGGCTGTGCCGCCGCTATTTGTATATAGGGGAAACACTGCTCTGTACTCTTACTTACATCCTCTTCCACCCACACAAACCTACACACACAGACACACACACACCCTTACCACATACTGGTTTCATCTGAAATACCCACTCTGCTATCTCACCCTTCAGAGGAAGCCACCGAAGCCAAAGCATTGTTTTCAACCGTTGCCCATCTACATCAATTACACCCTATTCATGTTATTTGGCATGAAAGCACACATGTGTATAAGCTACTTTTTATACTCATATCTCTTTTTTTTCCCTTAATGCTTAGTTCCTTCATTATTCTCAATGTCAGTGTTTTACTGGCATGCCTTGCTCACTGAGCCACCTCATAAAGGCAGTCATGGGCTGCTGTGACGTGTTGCAAATCTCTCTCTGAAGTAACAATCTGAAGTTTGTGTGTGGACTAAAATAGTCTGTACTGTAAGTAATTAGATTAAGGCTGCCATTCTGCCTCTTCTGCACACTGACAGCAATTCCTCATACAGCGATTCATCATCTTTGACGGGGATACTGGGGCTACAGTAAATGAGATTAGTGTCTTGAGTTTGATGGAAGTGTGGGAAGATACAGTATCAACAAGGCTACAAGAGCAGACAGAAATTAAAGGACAAAAAAATCAAGTAATATTGAATAATGCCCTGCTATTAAACTAAATTAATTGAAAAAGTGTTATGACAGTATAGTAATTATAAAAAACTGGATAGGCTTTATTTGCAGTAATATTGATAGAAAGCCATTGATTACTTGATCAATTAACATGACATTATAATTGACATGATAATAATTACAATTTTTCTAGAAAACCCTGCGCCATTTTACAATCTGTAAATCTAATTAGAAACTTACAGGGATACTACAACAATAATCTTAATGATTGAATGAAGCAAAACTATTTCCAGTCCAAAGAATTCAAATGTATTTATTGAAGTTTAAACAAATATATACATATGTATATATTTATGTATTTATTTTCAAAAGGCTTTTACATGTTTTACTAGCAGTTGTAACACTACATGAAGTTTAATCAGAGTTAATAAATAAAATAACTGTCTAGGTCAGTATACCAAGGCACCAGTGTAACATGCAACAGGTTCCCAAAGCAAACTGTGGCTTTATGTGTTTGTTTGGCCATAATTGTGTAACTGTGAACTGCATTTCCTGTGTTGAAGAGGTGACAGCGTTTTGGTATGTGTTAGGTGGTGTTATTCACACCTTTGCAGATAATATGTGATAACTTCAAAGCACTAGTGAGACCTTGTCAGAGTGGTGTTTGAAACTCAGTATTTTTCTCATTTTGTCTCTTCATTCTCCTCCTCTGCTCCTTTAGGTCACAGTGTTTGTGTACAGTGACCTGATGCTGGTGACAAGAGAAGACGAGCCCGGCAGGTGTAATGTCCTCCAGAGTCCGCTGTTCCTCCGACAGCTCAGGCTCCAGGACGGTATGTACGCCCCTTTTTTGCACCCGTTACCAACATTTGTCAAAGTCTAAGATGTCAAAATTGTTAAGGTGACAAATTCATGTTACTATATTAACACCTTCCTTCAAAGTCCTGAAAGAACTCGGCCAAAATTGCAATATGTAAATATATTTCCAAACAATCTTATCTTGCAATATGTAAATATATTTCCAAACAATCTTATCTGTTAACTTGTTACAACACTTTAACAGTTACACACAAAAGGGAAATGAAACACTTGAACCCCCAAATTACACAACTAAAAATAAGCAGACAGCCCCGTGATTACAGGGATTCAGTTGAGCTTAACCAGAGGATATTTAGGGAAAGACGGCCAAAGTTCCTGATGCTTTGTCTTTTTATGTCACCACAGTGTAAACAACCATCTCCTCTAGCGTTAAGGAGAGAATGGCTTGGCTGTCAGGGCCACACGGAGCATAGAGCTGTCAAATAAATAGGGCTCCCTGTAAATATCTCTGTTTAGAGAGGTGGGCGGAGACGGGGGTGCAAAGTTTAGAGTCAGTGTTGGGTCAGAGGCAGAGGAGAGGAGGAACACCAATATTTCTTCAAATTGATAAGTCCAGGTGGGAGAAACAGTGAAAGCCAATCTCTCCTCCAGCTGTGGGTGTCAAGAGCTGAGTGACAATAAATAGGATTTAACAGTGGGTAGTGGTGTCGGGATTATGTGGTTGATTTAGCAGCATGACAGGTGTTAAAAGGATGTTGAGCTAGGAGCTTGTCCACTCTGTCCCGCAGAATATTGACTGCAATGGCAGTGTTCACAGTCAGTGTGAGTGTAGGGGGAGACCACTGTGTGAAGTCATTGATTGGAAATGTAAGTACCCATTCAAATAAATGCTGCTTTGGGTGATTTATAGGCATTTTATGGTATTTTATTTGAGGTCTGGGTACAACCGTCAATAGATAAAGCCCCCTAGATAGATAGATAGATAGATAGATACTTTATTGATCCTAATTTGTGAAATTCTTTAATGGTACAGGTGTCATGGAAGCGTGACTACCCCTGACACCTTACAGTAAATCCATCCAGTGATAATATTGTTCTTCAGAAAACTAGTAGTAACGTTGGTCCCTTCAGTCTTTTGGTGAAGATGTTTATAATGTATCGTCACATTTTTGTCTATTTATAATTAATATTAGAGTGCATATCTGCCTGTTTCCTTGGTTTATTGCGTTATGCAGCTTCTCGTTAAGTTCCCACCTGAACTTTGAATGCATTCAGCTCATAAATCCTCCCAAGTTATTATTAGCTTAATGTCTCTGGCAGAGACATACTGATACTGAAATGAAAAATGCTGCTTGGTATGAAGCAGGTCATGCGGCCAAATCTGTGTCAAAGCTGTTTTCCAAATCAATAGGAGCTAAAAACATGTGATTCCCCCGATGCATGTCTAAGACTGAATTAAAGTATTTTCCTTTTAAAATTGTTGATGAAATTTAAAAACCTTTTTTCATTTCAGTTTTTTGTCTCTGAGATGATTGTTCATTAAATTATTTTAGATACATATTTTCAGCACATTATTAATTTAAGGAATATTTCCATTTGGCTCAGTCTATAATTAAAAATGTTGTAAAAGTTCAAGCACAGACATTTCTGAATGTATAATAAAGCCCTCAGACACAGAATGGCCTGAGCTGCTCTGCCCTCCCTGCAGACATCGCTGTCTCCTCTGGGAGACTTCTGACCTCCACCCTTCACCCAAACAATAGGAGATCTCCATGGTGGGAGATTCAGAAGGGTTTGCGTGTCTCTGTGAGGGTGTGTGTGTGTGTGTGTGTGTTTCATGAGACGACACACACGCATACAGACACACATCTCCACCCTGCTGCCTGTCATTGTTATTTCGCTTCGGCAGCGTCACTCAGGAAAGAGGCGCCCGGGGATTGTGTTTGTTTCAGCAAGGGTGTGTTTGACGTGTGTGTGTGTCTGTGTGTGTGTGTGTGTGTGTAATGACAGAGTACAAGCTCAACGCAGGGGCTTCCTGTGTCACCCCTATACTAGCCTGAGGAGCGTGGGAAACACTGAGAGTGATCGACCACAGATAAAACTAAATTACCATGTGTCAATCCAACTTTATCATTGTACTAAACAAAGTAAGCAGACGTCATTAAACAGCTCATCTACACGACCCTATCAAGCCTTTTGTCAGCTAATGCTACAAAGTTGTGGAAAAAGGACATGACAGTTAAAACTGTATTGTAAAAATGTTACTGATGTTATAAATGTCCTTTAGTGGGACAGGAAGTGGATTTGAGTGACAGGGAATTACTGGAATAATACACCTTTGACCCACCAGTAAGCCACTGCTGTCAGGTGAAAGGAACTACATATTAGATTATGGCTTTTCAGAACACATTTTTTTAAAGTATGGAAATTGTTTACACTCAAACTAAAACATGAATTTATTTTAAAAGTCCTGCATCACTACAGTATGTTTTAAGACGGCACTCTCTCTGCTAGTTTTTGTAAACAGAAATATATCCAACAGTGACCTCTGCTGTTATAAAAATGAACACTTTCTGCAGTGTAATGCAGGTCTCATAAAATACCATAACAGGAAAGCTGCCTGTGGTGGCTGCTGTCAACATTGCAGGTGAAGAGGTAGAGGCTTGAGGCTGATGGGAGTGTAATAAACACACACATATTTAATAATTTGACAGTGACCTTCAAAGGACCTCTCTTCAGTGTGTGCATGTGTGTTTTTTAGTATACTCTTCTTTGCTATGCAGAGGAATCTGAGCCAAGGCTTAGAGGCTTAACATTTTGGCCAAGAAAGCTAAATGTTCTTGGACTAGGCCCAAGTAAATCTGGATTAAGTAATTTAAGGAAGGAATTCATGATTCGGAGACCCCCTCCACACACGGTTTAAGACATACAAAATACTACTTTGAATAACTACTTTTGACCAAGTTGGTAAAAAGTAGATTGATTTGATCATAAGGGCATAGGCCTAATGTTCTTTTACAAAACAACTGGAGTGATTGAAAGTTCTTCTGAAATATATATGATACAACAGGGTAAGCTTTAGGGTGTATCTACCTTGTGATTGACAGGTTGCAAACACTGCAAGCTGGTCATCCGGATAGAGGTTTAGCAGTTTGTATCCTTTTGTCAAATATGGCACTTCATGCCAAACCTGAGGCTTGAAAACAGTAGTCCACAAATCAATGGGTGACAACACGATGGTTAAATTAACCTCTCATCTATCAATCTATGATATCAACAAAATACATGAGGTTTAAGTTGCTCGTTGTGCTCTGAATTTCAGGGTGCCAACCTGAAAGTCTGTTAGTGTGACTCCTTATTGTCAGTGATTGGGTCCTATGTGAACACATGACTGCCTTCAGTGAGGCCAAGTTTCACAAGGTACTTAAGAACTACGGTGAAACATGAGTTACATTAACATAAGTGTATGGATTAGGGATGCTCCGATCGATCGGCCACCGATCGATATCGGTCAATATTCACTCTCTGCCGATCGATCGGTGTTCTCTATAAAGGCCGATCGTGAGAGCCGATCACATGACGTAAAATACATGACACTTTTCTCTGTGCGCGGCAAAACAAGCTCGCCAAAATGGCTTCACCAGTCTGGCAGTATTTTAAGGTGTCCGAAAAGGACAATAAAATAGCGGTATGCAACGTGTGTGTGAAGCAGAAATCCTGCAGCTCCACCCGCTGTGAAGAACAGGTGAGCGGAGCAAAACACACACTAATTAGAGTTAGACCTAACCGACTTTTATCTACTATAACTATTTGATCTACCTCTGGAACAAGCTAAACTAGTTATAAATATGTTTATTCTTCACTGTCGGGTCACTCATTACTGGACCAGACAGTGAGCTGCATGAGATACTGACAGGCTGTCAGGAGAGAGAGAGAGAGGGAGAGAGGAAAAGAGAGCGCTTCCGCTCATTTCTCCCGTGTTATTATCCAAAGTGAATGTAAACTTGAATAATGTACTTCATTTGAATGTAATAATTATGTTGGTTGTTTGTGGAAGCGCCAGTGAATGAGCCCCATTAAAGGTAGGGTATGTAAGTTTGAGAAACCGGCTCGAGATCGCTAGAATTTGAAAATACACGACCGGAGAAAATCTGCCACTTCCTTATAGAGCCCCTCCTCCAACACACACACAAAGGATGGGAATGTTTCGGAGAAACAATCAGCATAAGTGAACTCTCACAAGCCAAGGTTTTGATCATCCGCTCTGTCCAGCACAAGGCCTTCAAAGAGGAATTCAAATGTCTTGAAGACGGACAGACTTGGTCCAAGCAAAACACACTTGAGAAGCTCAATCCATTTGTGGATAAAGATGGTCTTCTTCGTGTTGGAGGTCGTCTTTCATTGGCTGAGCTGTCAGAAGAAGAAAAACACCCTCTGATCATTCCACGCAATCATCACATCGCCACACTGCTTGTCAGATACTTCCATGAAAAAGTAGCTCACCAAGGGCGACACTTTACAGAAGGAGCTATTCGAGCAGCTGGATACTGGATAGTTGGGAGTAAACATCTGGTATCTTCTGTCATCCACAAGTGTGTTACCTGCCGCAAATTGCGAGGAAGGTTGGAAGATCAGAAGATGGCGGATCTGCCAGCTGACAGACTAACACCCGAACCTCCGTTCACCAATGTTGGACTGGATGTTTTTGGGCCGTGGTTGGTCATGACACGACGCACAAGAGGAGGGGCTGCAGACAGCAAACGCTGGGCTTTGCTCTTCACATGCATGTCTACCAGAGCGGTGCATATTGAACTGATTGAATCCATGTCAACAGACAGTTTTATCAATGCCTTAAGAAGATTTTTCTCTGTTCGTGGTCCAGCAAAGCTCCTGCGCTCTGACAGAGGGACTAACTTCGTCGGGGCTTCAAAAGTAAAAGAAGAACAGTAAAGTCAAGAAAGAAAACCATGCATCTTTATTGGAGGACTTTTAAATGTTAGCTAACTGTCTAGCTACGCATAGGGATACGCGCTGTAAGGGCAGAACAGTACACATGACCAATGAGGGCACGAGATAAGTTTGTGCACAGATGGAAGGCTGACAGGCAGGTAGGCCATCCAGTTATTTTAGCTGGGCCGGCTAAAATGATTGGTCGTGCTTTTTACAGTACTACGGCTTCCACAGATGACATTTTTTTATGGATTTTTTGTCAAAGCACTTAAGATATTCATTGCTATCGGGATGTTAAGAGCATTCCATGGAATATAACAAAAAGTGTATCTCGAGCCGGTTTCTCAAACTTACCTACCCCACCTTTAACTGAGTTTTAAACATCACTTTAAATGGAAGATCCCCATAGCCCCCACCCACTCGATCGGATCGGTGATCGGTATCGGCCGATACTGATTCCGGCGATCGGCCCCAAAATTGCCAATCGGAGCATCCCTAGTATGGATATATATACTCTTCCTTACCAATGAGAAACAGTAAGGATATATGAATCATTTTAAACCTCATCCCTAGTGTGATATTGATCATCAGAAAGGATCATCAGTCAGTCAAAATGTTGAATTGTGTGAGCACTTACTGAATATAAAACATTACACATCGCCACAACAAACAGGTGTGTGTGTGTGTGTGTGTGTGTGTGTGTGTGTGTGTGTGTGTGTGTGTGTGTGTGTGTGTGTGTGTGTGTGTGTGTGTGTGTGTGTGTGTGTGTGTGTGTGTGTGTGTGTGTGTGTGTGTGTGTGTGTGTGTGTGTGTGTGTGTGTGTGTGTGTGTGTGTGTGTGTGTGTGTGTGTGTGTGTGTGTGTGTGTGTGTGTGTGTGTGTGTGTGTGTGTGTGTGTGTGTGTGTGTGTGTGTGTGTGGTCACTCGATTAAAACCATTTATCTTGACTCCTGACCCACAGGCATGTCTCGCAGATTGCTACTTCAGTGAATTGTGGATGGATGCCTATAAGGCTGACCTAAAGTAAAAGCCTTCCATCAATAAAAAGTATTTTAGCAAAATCCTGATTGGAAATCAATGACCCCTGAAGGAAGCGTGTGACAAATGAAACACTGTAAATGAAGTTGGGTGGTTCTCAAAATGAAAGTCTCCTGTTTTGTTTTGTCTTACAGATTACGCTGAAGAACTGAGGTTCTACCTTATTCACATGACAGAGGTACGTGAAAGCCTTGTGTGTGTTTGTGTGAGTTTTAAACAAAATGAGGGTCTAATGTGAGAAGCCTATTTTGTGTGTGAGCCAGAGGGGCTATTGAGTCCGTGGAAAATCACATTAAACGCAAGACACTAGAATTAGCAGAAAGCTCTAATGAAAATATCTTTTTATGTGCGTCTTTCTCAGATCTGATGACACACACACACACACACAAACACACACACACACTTTTGCTTTTTTATATTTTTGTAAATCAATCGTAAACAATGAAATACTAAAACACAAACTTTAAATATTTGTAATCCTATTTTATTATTAAAAGTGTTTTATATATTCCCACCCAAAATAATCCTTATCTTAAACAAGGCTGTGGAAACAAGGTACACTAAACCATGTGGCCTAGAGATAGTGCTATTCAGTATAAAACAATTAGAATGAGTCAAAATATTATATATCTATTGATTTACATTCAAATGTTTTCATAGTTATTATGAAAACTAGTCATCCTTTCTCCCATCTGCTGTAGCACCTCTCAGGCTGTCATTTTAAGTTGAAAGGCTTTGGGCATGTGAATATTTCATCGTTGTGATCATTCACAGATAACTGTAATGACACTTTAAAGGCTTACACTTTTTATTGTTTAAGCTGCATGAAAGATATATGGCCATGGCTGGAATCTGGTAGTTTGAAAAATGGTTTAATCAAAATGTATGGAAACAGTATATTGTTGCCTTAAAGATGTCAAACCCTTAGATGTAAAACTCTAAGAGTAACTGCATGTTAAAAAGCAATTGTTTTTGTTTAAAAATCATAGTTTTAATTAGATTTTTATGGGACTCAGCTAGGTGAATTTCTTACTTCAGGGCTGCTCTACGTAATTAGTTTTAAAAGCCAAAATATCACTGTCTGTCCTGCCAGCAGCCATTAAGGCGTTTAGACCGTAGTCTTCAGATAAAAAATAAAATGAAATCAGCTGCACTCAGACAAAGAAGGAGGATTTGATCTGACCAATACTTTATAGTTATGAAGCCTGTTTGTCTGCTTGACAGCCTTAACATTGTGTGTGTGTTCCTGGCAATTCTTCTGTACCTAATGAGCATTTTGAGCAGATGGTTGTCAATAATTTCTTTGTTTTTATTTTTTGCATTTTTGAACTGGAGAAATGTGTGTGGGAATGAAACTGCAGCTTTATCTCACTTTCAATGTTGCCATACATTATGTTTTCATCAGTAATCACATTTCGGTTCTACCATCTCACATCTTTCAACCTTTAGTTCAAGTGTAGAAGATTGACATTTTCTTCTACGCTCTGTGTCTGGAGACCTTTCCATCATCGCCTCCAGCCAGATTTACCTTGATGTGAAGCATGTTATCTAGCAGAGCATACAAGTGTGCTTAAGCATGCTGAGTATAAGCCATGCAAATTCATGGTTCATGTATTTACAAGAATATGTAGCCGGGTGATACAATGGCTTGGGTAGAGTTTATGTTCAGAGTCATTTTATTAAGTGGTTATTCCAGTTTTCTAATAGTAGAATCTGAGAACATATATAGTTTTAGCTTTTCAACATCTTCAAATCTGTATTCCTTTGGCCAAGGAGGTAATAATACAACCGCTTTTTATGGTAGCCTGATTTAAATTCACTATCAGAAACCACAACAAGAAAAACTAATGAAAGCACATATTTTGTTGTGCTCTATTTTAGCTGATACTGACCTAATACATTGGTTTAGATTGACCTCTCTACCACACCTTTGCACTCGATACACTCTTTAGTTTGACTAATCCCAGTTTATAGACCTGATACTTAAAAATGTCATAAACTGTACAACTCAAAATATGGTGAATCTGTGAAACTCAGCTCAAACATTTCTTCCCCGAACAAGGTCATCTTTTTTTTTTAGTCTTTTGAAAAACATTGTACGACATTTAAGTTCCTTAAACCTTCCTTAAACTGAATATGTTATGTCTCAAAAGTGTTTTAACAATTAAGCTGAAGAATCTGCACAAGGGGCCATTTTCTGCCTTTTCCTTTTTACCGCAATTTCTTGTGGCCAATATCTGCTCATATGGATAATCTTTTCACAGAGAAACTCGATAAACCCCGTAGCCCTGACTCCTGCTGCACACACACACGAACACACATACATTGTCACAGTATTTTTGCTTTGAAATGTGCCGCATAACCTCATTAGCAGCTTATGAATCTTTTAGAGAGCCTTTTTTTATCGGAAATTCCAGACAGAATGAGAGATGCCCGAGATCTGTCCCGCCAGGCTAGAAAAGAGGAAGGAAAAAGCTTCAACACTATAGACTATCCAATTAGGAGGATGTATAAAAATAAAACCTCTTACGTAAGAAAGCATGAAAGAGAAAGTGAGATAGTTTGAGTAAAAAGGCAGATTTGGGATTTTATATATGCGTCACAGGAAAACAGAATTGCTCGAATGGTGGTATCAGCTCAGCAGAAATATGTTTGTGTTTGTTTTTGTTTGTGTGTGTGAATTTGTTTCCATTCAAAATGCACTTGGCTCAGCCTTATTTCTCTATCCCTCCTGTCAGCTGCCTCCCCACATACAGAGTGTGCATTCATCTATTATAGTTGATACACCTGTCAGCAGTTCATTTCAAACCTCAGGGAGCAAACGGTAGCCACAATGAAACGCTGCATGCAGTTCACTCATACTGTAACTCTTATCTCTCACATTTACTGTAAGATATACTTTTTAAAAGGTACTTTGTTTTCATAACTTCATAGTTTTATGCTTTGCAGTTTAAATGTATGCTGATGCATTATGAAATAATCAATGAAGGCACTCTCTGTGATTTGGTGTACACTTAAAATGGAAGCTTCTTAAATACTGCAGTGCTCATTTATCTTTAAGTGAGGACAGAGTCTTTACAGAGTGGTTGACCTTCTGGTCCTGCTGGCAGGGCACACTGTTGTGTGAGGCAGAACAGAATGTGACCTGGATGGAGAGAGGGATCAGTGAGGATGAAGGCATGAATGACTTTGGCTCAATGGATCGAGTCATTTGATTGGCTCGATGGAAGGAGAGAATTCTGGACTCCGACTTAATGCTTACTGCAGGTTTTCATCTTGCCTGGAACACCCCTAATACACACTGATACACTGTTCCTGACTTGAAGACACTTCTGGAAATCCATCTGCTCACAAATTTGAAATGTGCACTGATTCACAAGCGACCACACGGCAACATTTGTGACTCCTACGTATCACCCCATAAAACTTACTCCAGATGACGCACTCTTCATGCAACAGACCTCTTCACTAGAGCTCTTCATCATAGGGAAGCATAGTATCTCCTCCATGTCTCATCCGTCTCATCATTTTTTTTAAATGTTCTTCTGTCCATTGTTTTTATTTCGAGGCAGACATGCATCTTTGAAATGGTCTCTTTGCACATTGGACTTTCAAGGAGTTATTTAAAAGATGTTGGCAAAGATTGAGGAAGGATAGCACTTCAATTCAGCAGAAGTAGGAAAATGACTCCTGTAGTTTCTCTAAAAGTTTTGAGTATACCTCTTCAGTTTCCTCCTCTCTAAGTCCGCTCCCCTCCTTTAGTCTACTCCTGCCCTTCTCTTCCATCGCTGGAGGTCATCCTATTTTAGCACTTTCTCAAAACAGAACTGATCTAACCCAGATTTACACGTGGAGGGAGATTGTGTGTGTTTGGGGAGGTGCAATTGTGTCTCTGCAAAGTCAATTGCGTGCGTGTGTCAGCGAAGCAGGAAGAGAGGAAGCAAGAAAGCGTTGTATAGGTGATTGAGAAACACAGAGAACGAGGATAAATACTGTTTGAAATTATTGTCCAGCGGATTGCGTCACGGTCATCGCAGAGTCACCATGGGCAACTTGGCAGATCGGGTCGGGCCTAAGAAGAGGTTTGTTAGAGAGGCCAGCTCTCTACAGAAGCACCTGCTATCTGACTCCGGAGATGTAAGTCCTACTGATTGATGTTTCGGCTCAGGGGGCATTCAAAGGTTAGGAGAGGGAGATTTGTATCGTTAGCACTGTGTAGTAGATCAACGGCATGAAACAGGAAGTATTGTTACCTTAATTTTAGCAAAATAAGTAAAAACCACGTTGCACGTATACAACTCTTTATGACTGAAGGTGACACTCCATAGTCTCGAGTGAGTTATATTAAAAATCATATGTATTTGTGTGTATGATTAGCTTATTATATGTCAGACTTAATACATTTGATCTCAGTAATTAATCAGTGAGCTTTGTGGCCCTGAGGTGACCATGATGACTTTGCCCAGAAACGTATATCTTACTGAATGTTGCTGTTCCTGCTGTTACTATACAAAACATGCTGTACTATATACATGTGGCTTTGATCGTTCCTTTTGATGTGATGCTTCCAGTTAAAGCTGAGAATTTCATTAAAGCTAATGCATTTTCCTTAATTATAATACAATTCTGAATAATTTCCACTTACCAAAGCACAGCAATAACAATGACTCAAACTGCTTACGTCATCTGACCATACTGTAGTCTGCATACATTTATGTAATCTATCATATTTGTACTTCTTCATTGGTCAGTTGTTAAGACCTCCTGAACCATGCACCCACATCAGGGTTCTTTTGGAGTTTGCACTTATTGGTTTGAAAATAAAAACAATCTTGTTGAGAATGATTTGATTGAAAAGTGATGAGATAAGAGGCCCCGAATACAGAGGTATACTGCCAAACTAGGTAAAATCACAGTGGGATGTCTTGCGATTCGGCCGTTAAACACCAAGGGAGTGCTGTAATCAGGCTACACAGCACAGTGTGCATACACATTGTCATTATTTTAAAGGGTCTGTTCTATAAAAGGTTGCAGTGTTCTTGGTGCGTATGCTGAAGTTCATGTGACGTTTGTGGACAAAGTAATAATGGTGCAACTTAGATTTGATTACTCACTGTTGATGCTTTTTACAGGAATAGAAATACATCTTAAACATACCCGGATCAAACATAAAAGGAT